TTATATTTAGAAGTTATTTCTAAAACTAGAAAATCGTTTTCCTTTTTGGTACGACTTACTAAATTTATAAATTTCTGACTATGTTGTAGGCTTTGGTGATTTCCAAGCAAGTGATTTTAGTTTCGGGCTGGTGAAAATTTGTTTAAAAGAATTAATATATTATTTAATAGTTCAGACTATCTCCTTGTCGAGCTAGAGATTCTAAAAATGTATTTTTTGTTTAATATGTCAGTTTTTTATTTGAATTCTTATTATTGTTGCTACCTCTGACTTAACTTTCGCTTTGACGGCAAACTTTTGCTTTTCATGCTAGAACTAGCTGACAAAAGTTTTACTAACGGAGCGCAGCAAAGTTTTAGCACTTCAAGTGCAAGCGTCACTGCCATCAGACCACCGCCTCCCTCCCTTTCCATTAGGCCCACCTTCACCCACACTTCTCTCCCACACACGCACACAATAGCTGCATAGAAGTTCGAAGAAGTTTTCACTTGACTCACATTTGATTTAGTTGCTTGCTGCTTGATGTCCATTTTATTTTGTCTGATTCTGCAATTATGTACGACTATGTGGCAGTTGGCAAAAGTGCTCAACTCAAACACAAAGAAACTTAAACAAGTCATAAATTGTAGTAGTCAAACATACTCGACTGGCAGGTGCCTAGTTTTCAAGTAAAACTAGCTAACTTTTTTGTTGAGTACAAAATAAAGAGTGTCTTGAAAAGAATCTAAGCGAAGGTAGTATTTGCTTAATTACAAATTGAAAAATACCGACCGTTCTATGAAAGCGTTAAGCTTTAGAGCTCTGATTTCTATAATTTATTTCCATAATTTTAGGATCATAATAGCACTAGTTTCCAAACAGCATTGTATTTTAAATTCATTTTAGCTTTCACATCTCTACGTGCAATTTATTTATAACTATTTATTCATTTTTATTTTGTTTATTCAATGTCCACTAATATCAGTTGACCAAAAAAAGAAGAGAAAAAATAAATTAAATTAAATTAAAAATATAAGTAAATATTTTAACATAGATAAAAAAAAAATGCTTATAAGATTTTTGGGAATATTTAAATGCAAAATGATCCAATATATATTGCAAGTAATTGTTAAAGCACCAGAAGAACCCCATCAGACCACAAAAAAAATGGCTAGTATAAATTAGTTACGATGACACAAATGCATACGAAAATGTTATTGACGAGACAAGACAACGCTTAAGAGAAACTGTACAGTGCATAAGCAGAAAGTGAAATATTTCAAACACGTCAATTTATATCGCTGCGCCAAGCCTCATAATAATAAAATAAATAATATCTACATATATTCATTGGACAGCTGTATGATGCCATGCTCAACTTATGTTTGTGTAAGTGTGTAGCGACAAGTAGCTATGCTCAGATGCTTATACAAGTAATGGCGGCACTTGAAACTTGCTGCACATAAGTGTTTGAAATACGTTCGTTACATTTATTATTGAGTGCTCCGCTCTGCTCAGCTTTACTCTACTGCCGAACAATGCAACACTCAGCCGTTAGCTGTCTGGGCTGGTTAATTTATGTCTCTCACAGTTTTTTGGCTCAGAACCTGAGCAGACTTGCTGCTTGCCGCAACTTGAATGCGGGGCGGGGGGCGGGCGTAGGTGCGCACATTTGACATTCGACACAATTCCCCGGAGCGGAGCACGTTGCCCATAGCATACTTATCCGGGCATCAGCAGCAGAAGTAGCAGAAATAGCAGCAGCAACAGCAGTCAGCAAACGGCAACTATCAGTAACTGGAGGCGTGCTGCAGTAAATGCATATTTTATATTTTCATTTCATTGAAACCGACACGTATCCACATTTTCTGGGCTCATGTGTCTCTGTGTGTCTGTGTGTGTGTGTGTGTGTGTGGCAAGGTTGCTGGCCGGCCCCTGCGACTGAAGTCGCAAAAACTGTAAATTCGAATTGAAGTCGCCTTTCAGCTAATAAGATACAAAAATTTGTCCTTTAATTGGTCGAATGCTGGCACAGTTGTAATTAAGGTCATTTCCGGTAATTTCCGACGGACTATGATTGTATTTCAGAACAGCTAACATTTTCCCTATGAATATACGTATGAAAATCTATCTGCGATAGCTGCTGCACATAAAGTTTGAGCAACTTATTTTCTTTGTTCTCTTCGAGTTGAATAAACGCTATTTTCAGCTGCTGAATATTTAAGCAACATGCATATGCATGTAAGAGTAGAACGGTTTTTGGTTTTATTTTTGTATGCCCACATGGCGGCCTTGCAATAAAATTGTGCAAGTCGTGCCACTTATCAGACGAGCCAGCTTTTTGAGTTGGCCTTATGACGCCCCTGAGAGGTCGCCGAAAAGGGTTGTTGCTAATGTTGATATTTACGTCACCGAAATATTGCACTTAATATATCATCGGGGATATTTTAGGCAAAGGGCAAAATGACAAACAAAATATGATGTAGTGTTATTATACTCTATGTGCCTCTACAGCTACACAAAACTAATATTAATATTTTAAAGAGTTTACTTTAATATAAAGTGTCTGGCTAAAGGCTAAGTATGTTGTTATTGATTTTATATGCTGGCACTGCAAGCGTGCACTCCAAGAGCAAATACCTTTGCACATTGACATTGTATATGTTTATTTTTGTAAAACACACGCTTTTGGTTTCCATTGCATTTCCTTCAATTCCCAGCTGCAATAGCTATATTCAGAAAAATCAACCTCCATTTTATTAAATAGCCCTAAAATGAAAGTCGGCCTAAAACCTTGTTAGATAGTTTCTATTTGTAAGATAAACATTTCAAAAAGTAGAAATGCAAAAAAAAGTAATGAAATTCTAAAATTCTGGCTTGGCTCTGATAGTGGAGTTTAGCTGTCGTCTGTTTTAAGAATGTCAAATTAAATTATTTGATTTAAAATTTTCGTTTATGTTAGATCTTAACATACAAATGTTTATTTATAAGAAATAAAAAAGATAAACTAATAGTAGCATACTTACTACACTCATAGAATAACGACCAGGAAATTAAACAAACTTTTTAGAAAAATTGACCCCAAAATTTGGAAATGTAAATCCTTTTTTATTCTGAGTGTAGTATCTTATTTCACATTGTGGCCGCGTTTGTCTTTTCGGCAACACCGCAGATATGCATCGGCTAGGTTTGGGTTTGATTCCTGCTCGTTGCGATTGCTCTCTTTTTTTTTCTTTTCGCTGATTTGCGTTTTGCTGCCTTCTACGAGTATTTGCTTTCTTTTTTCGACGACAAATTGCAAGGATGCCAATTTGTTTCACTGCACTGCATCCAAATACGTGGCATGTATGTCCAATGTGTCCGATTAAACGTGAGACGATGGGCTCCGCTACTATTGTGCTACTTGAGGAACACATAATATATTTTCCATAGCGATGATAGAATAATTAAAAAAACATCCGACAATACACTGAAAGTATCCTGAAAAAATATATCGTAACACCTTTCTAAGGAGAGGTGAATTGCGAACATATTTTTTTCCATGAAAGTATTCTGGAAAAGAAATTAATTTATTGAAAATACATAATGTCAAAAAAACTTTATAAACAGAGGCGAATATATTGAAAGCATATTTCTATATCTCTCCCAATCAGAATAACTTTAAGGCACACAATGAATATAGTGAATATATATATGAATATATATTATCACAATTACTTTTATGGGGGTATGGGAAAATTTACTTTCTCTCTCTATATCTTTACCTCACTCTCTATCTCTTTTCCATTCTCTCTCTGTCTCTCTCTCTCTCTCTCTCTCTCTCTCTCTCTCCCTCTCTCTCTCTCTCTCGCTCTCGCTGTCATTGTCTCTCAGTCTCTCTCTCTCTCTCTCTCTCTCTCTGTCACATTTTTCCTTTCATCAGTTTTCTACGGTCATCCCCAAGATTTTAAATTTGCATTCCTAATTTTAGTGCACTTAAAATTTGTTTTCTAAGCTGTGCACTTATTTGTCCGTACATTAATTAAAATAATGTTTGCTTAGAGCATTGCACTATAATCAAGGTTGCCTGCCTCTGCCGCTATTTGAGCAGCAATCAAAAGCCGATCGATGTTAACTTTCCACATTATTTGCATAACTTGTGCAGTGAAGTCACGTTATTGTTTCTAGCCACTTTAGGGGACATTCTTGCCACTGATTCAATTTTGTCCCTGAAAAGTTTGTGACTGTCATCAATAATATTTCAATAATGAGCAAGTTGAAAAATGCCATCAACTTTGTGGAAAGTATATGATGAACTAAAAAAATGTATTGTACAAGAGCTGGCAGTTAAGTAATTAAGCTGCAGTCGAGAATTAAAATTGCCTTTATTTCATTTTCATTTACATTGGTTAAAAGTGCAAAAATCGTTAACTTTTTTTGGAAAAGCAATTTGAATAAAATTTTGGTATGTGTTCAGTGTTAGTTAAGTGTAAATATCTCAGTGAGTCCATCCATATGCGATGCACAAACAGTTGCTCCACTTGCGCTGCATTAAAAAATCATTTTCATCTTCTTCTTCGTCAGCTGGTTTAATAGTCCGTGCAACAATGTGCGATGCGGTTGCCTCCAATTGAGTTTGGGTATGTGTGTGTGTGTGAGCACAGTAGCGAAATCAAAATACTTAATTCGACAATTATATTTCATATTATATGTTAGTATTAATATTATTAATATTATAAACATACAGATATTGCACTTATTGTATTAAATAAATATAAATTGTAAATAATAAACTGACAGAATAAAGATATCGATTTAAGGATTGCACTTATTGTATTAAATAAATATGAATTACAAATATAAATTCGAAATACCCAGAATAAAGATGTGGATATCAATATTGCACTTAATTAATTAAGCAATAATAAATTCATATTGATTTTTTGCTACTATCGAAATCAAAAGAGCAATCCATGAATTTTATTTCGTTTGTTGTATGCTTGTCACATTTAACAAAGATACAAAAATTAACAGCAAATCACCATCTGCTCCGGCGTTCAGTTATCGAAAACGCAATTTTAAAGCTCCCAGTGAACTAAACAAACTAAAAAGGCAGCCGAGAAAAAAATTCAAATGATGTAAGAGCCCAAGAGAAGGCGCAAATCCATAGAGTACTCCAATATTGTATTACAGCACATTTCAACTATTGGTAGGTATTTGTATCAATGAGCAAAAAGATGCAGTTAATTGCGGGTTTTCAATTATCAGGGCAAAAATCGCAAACTGCCCTCGGAAATGGACACTCTACAACGGCTTTTGTATGTGAAAGATTTGAGTCTGGAGATTGGTCATCATGAGATCTTCGAGCATTTCTGCATCTTTGGCCATCTGAAACGTGTCACAGTGCGTCAGCGCACCGAACACTACAAATATGCCACAATACTCTATACATCGGATACATCCATTGAGTTGGCACTCAGCGCCAATCCACACAATTTGCGTGGCAAACACTATTTTTGCCACAAGGCAGGCACGAGTCGAAAATGGCCCACGAATTGTTGCCCGAATAGGCTCACCAATGGCATTAGTCTCCATCAATATGTATACCATTCGTCAGTCATAGCAATGCCAGAAAACTTTAGAGTCGACCAAAGAAATGAGCCCCGGGCCAAGCGTTTCTCCTTGTTGCCAGAAGCATCGATGGTCCTGTTGCATCATCTGCGTGAGGAGCAGAAGCCGCCTGAATCTGCTCCAGCTAGCAGGCTGAGTCCGAATATTAATTACAAAAGACTCATGTCTAGCATGGGCGAGAGCTTCAACTTTGTGAGGCATAGTTACACAAATTTTGTGGCGCACAAAAGGAGACCAGGCCTCTACGACAAACTACCCATCGATGCTAAAATCAGTTTGACGGCCATCGCCTATGCAGATGTCAGAGATAGACGAGATTTGATATCGTTTCACTATGCCACCGACTAGAAAAAAAACTAAAAACACAAATCGCTACTTTTAATGCAAACGATGTGAGAGATGTGGCATTGAGATAAGCATCCCAGTAACTTCATCTATGCATAAATCAGAATCATCATATAATAGTAGAAAATAAACCAGCAGCTTCATATATACAGAAATCATTTCCGAATATGGTTAGCAACCTTATAGAATAAATGAAAATAAACCAGATATGTATATATTTACTTACCCTCTGAGTTGTTTGATATCCATGAGTTGCAGATGAGTATCTCTTTTGTATCTCAAATGAGTAGATACATTATTAAAAATTTCAAGTCCCATAATACATCATGATGCAATAACTCTGATCCGCTTTTGTGTATACGTTATAGTTCCTGAGTTCCTGAAGAGTCCGCCCACTCTTATAATAAATTAATTAGACTCAGTAATTAGATTAACCAGTTGAAATGTTTATTTTTAAGTTACCAACGTACCATATAAAGTTGGTAATACTTAAAATGCATATACTACAATTACAAAAGAGGCAATATTAATAATATAAAGACATGATTCTGATCCGCTCCTGTGCATGGGTTATACTTACATATGTATTTGTGTAATGCTGATGGGGCTCGTTCGGTGTGCTGGCAAGTGAGACCATATAATTTGAGCATGATGTTGATGTTGATGTTAATGCACTTATCAGTGCGATGCCGCACACACTTGGCAAGCCAGCCATTGCACTGGATAAACATCAGCAGGCAAGAGGAACAGCATTATGGTTGCTTGCAACTTGCGGTTCGCAAGTGGAGCAAGTGCAGCAGCATTCAATTTTGGCATACTTATGGCTTCATCTTCCTTGAGCGCGATGGCTTGTTAAAAACACCCAGTTGCAGCTCATATACTTTGTAATGGGGAGTAGGTATATATATATGAAAGTATGTGATTTTTCCACTGAAGCCATTCACTTTGATTGCTTTTGGACAAAGCGTCGTATGATTGTTTTTTGCTGCACTTGCTGGCTTTAGGGACTAGGGCGGTAACTGAAGCACTCAAGTGAAGCGTGCGACGTGGCAAAATTGATTTGTGCACGTGTACTGTTAGCTAATGAGCCGAGCTGGCCATTGCTCCAGGGAACACTGCAAATCACACACACGTACATACGTTGGGCACAGAGTGCGACGGGAGACGCTGCACAATTGTCGCTGACATTCGGTACAGGTGACAGCTGAGCTGGCGCACAAGCTAACTAACAGACAGGACAACGGCCACAGCTGTTTGCGCCAACTTTGCTTAATTAACAACATTATGGCATTAACATTAACACATTAACACACATAAGTGCATGAAAAAAGACGAAGGTTGGCCACCTTCGTTTGACTACAAAGAACATAACAAAGCACTTTATTATCCGGGAAGTGTTTAACACATTGACATATGACTAATGATTTAAAAACAACAGTATTTAAGTTAATTGCAGTTTAAAAAACATTCTTTCTACACCCAAGCATCTCAGAAATACTTTAAAATATTCGATAACTCTCAACTAGTACATTTAATTGGAAATAAAATTTATCAAAATGCCGCCCCAAAAAATTAAAAAATTATTCTTTGTCCTATAAATAATTCTTAAATATAAGAAAACAAAAGTCAATCAATATTAACTTAACAATTGCAAATATGGTTTCTATAAATCAACTTACTTTATGAGGCGCCACAAAGATGGCGAGAGCGAGAAAGAAAACTCTGAGTGTACGGAAGATCGTACTCATTGTTACTTGCCACTGCCCTGGAAATCATAGTCAAAAAGGTTTAATGCCGAACATTTAAAGCAACTTAAAGCTCAAAACTTTTGAAAGGATATTAACCAACTTCATGGCTGCATAGCTTATCCTCCCAACCGTTGTATTTATTGACATATGGCTCTGCTTGCTTAACTATTAAGCTATTATAATTAGGGCTTGATGGACTGGTCATGCCTTGGATTGGACTCGGATGACCCTGATAACTGATGCAGTCGTGCATCCCAAATTGCTGTCAATAGAGTTATTCAGTCTGGGACCAGTCAATACTGGGCTAGGCAGGACATCCGGGCCACTGACGAAGACACGCCCAGGATGTGCCGCTTAATGTGTTTGCTAAGGCCAAAGACATCACAAAGGCAACATATGTGAGTGTGTGTGTGAGGCTTTGTGTCATGGCTTAAAAGTGTTTTGGGAAATCAACGACAAATCGAAAACGAAATGAGTTTTCGTTAAATGCTAAGCGACGACGAGTGCACGCGTTAGTCTGATTACTCATTGGGGAGCGTTAACATCGAAAATCACAAATCTCAGAAACATATCTCAATAATAGTTCGCACTACAAACTCAAAAGTGGAATACTTGAAGACTCTTTCTGCTTACTGCTGGTATCTGGAATAAAAGGAATTGCAAATTAAAAATAAATATTTAATACAAAGTGTTTGCAACTTTAACAAGTCGGTCAGACTCATCGGTCGGCTATCCATATCCCATGCTGCCAGCTTGAAGGAGATACCAAAGAGATTTACAAATTGGCTAAATAGCTAAGATTTATAGTGGCTAAGAGCGATGGCCCACAGCGTTTTTGCAGTGCGTGCCGATTCGAAAAGTTTTCGGCCACATTTTAGCGCTATTTTGCCACATTTGCTTCTGTTGTTGCAGACACTAAAGCAACTATGAGATTTTCCATGAGGGCACCTGCTAAAAGTTGAAAACACTTTTGTTGCCGTTTGGCAGGGAAGGACTAATCTGTTAATTTATGTTGAAAAGTTTAGCAAGTTTTCAAGCGCTTAGCAGAACAAAATGCAATAAATTATTAAGACTATTTTCAGACCGCCGAGCACGAGCAACTATGGTTATATACAATTATTGTGTTTGTGATTGTCACCTTCAACCTGAGTTTGAGGTGGTTTGCTCAGCTTTGATTTCAGCACTTCAGCATCAGCCACAATTGAGCCAGCAACTTGAGTCAACCAAAAGCCGAAAGCCACACGCAAAAGATAAACATGCTTGACATCCATTCAAGCATTCATCCCTTCTCTCCGAGACGTGCCCAAGTTTAAGGCTAACGAAAAGTTAAAATGTTCTTATGCATAAGTGATGCGGCACGACATTCTTTTCCATTCCAATCTGTGACTTCAGATGGGCGGACAAAGCCCACTCACGAAGTACCCGCATTGCAGTTGTTTCACTTGCCGTTCCTTGACTGCGCCATGAAAACTTAATGCCGCAATTAACTGTTTGCGTTTGCGTTTGCGCTTACAGGCCGCGGCGACACCAAATTAAATGGCACGCATATCGCGTATACGCAGCGGCTTTGGCTTAAGCCCCAACTTCTCGCCAGCTCGCGTGACCCACTTGCCACAGCATCTGACACCAGCCTTGCAAGGCATACCCTTTACATCTTTATTTAAGTGCAAGCCAAAACCAAAGTAAAACAAGTTAGAATGTTCGAATCGAGACAGCTCGAATAGCAGATATCCTGCAGCCTGCTTTTAAATACATAGCTGATAATAGGTATGATTAATATGAAAAGTTGTTTTAGTCCCTCCAACATACACGCACTCTGTAATATTTTACCAATATTTGCAAATTAAAATTGAGCAAAATTGTTTCTGAGTGTAGTAAGGTTGCTGATATTTTAAGTTAAACATATTTATATATTCAAAATTATTAAATTTATTTTCATATAGTTTCTTATACATATTACGATCTATGTTCATGACTTAGTTTGAGATTCGAGTCTGTTTTCTCTGTGTTCAGTTGCCCTAAATATTAACGTATATATTATGCACACACAAATAATGTTTACCAAGTCAACTATCACTATTTTAGCTGCATGTTTTAGTTATTTGCCAACTGTGGATCACATTTCCGCCAAGTAAGCAAATTTTTTTTTCACGGCATTTTGACTGCCAGTGTTCAGGAAATAGCTGTAAGAACGTTTGAATTCGAATTTCCCCTTACACAAATTAACTGTGATGACTCTGCACAAAATGCAGTTACAGACGCGATTCCATTTCCGCCGCTTAAGCGCCATTTAAAAATCTGAAATTGAAAATTTGCGAAATGCGCCCAGTTTTTGGATCAAGCACTCCCGGACTTCACGTTTTGCTCATAATGACATTGTCAATCGCAATTAGTTGGTGTGATACACTTTTTGGCTGCCAATTCAGAGTCATTTTATGTTTGTCCTTCAAAATGTCTGAAACTATCTGTCTATCTTTCAGTCAGTCTGCTCTCTCAAAGTGCAGTTTGTACAAATTTACAGCACATTTATATTTACTCTACTTACACTTACACACACACACTGACGACTTGCTTGGCCACTCAGACATTTGCCCCCACTCGTGGCATTCACTCAGCGTTGCAATTTAAAGACTGCGGTGCTTCAAGTGTACTTTGCCTGAATGATGACACTTCAGTTTATAAGGTACTCACATATGGTACCACCATTGTAAGTGTTTTTGCTTCGCTGCATATCAAATCAAGCTCAACTTAAATTTCTAAGCAACAAACAAGCAAGCAGCAGTTATTTTCCACGAACCGAATATTTCATACGCTTGACTTAATATTTGCTCAAAAATGTATTCATGTAAATTAAATGACCTAGATTTTTTTGAAAACCATTATCCTTTATTTTTACAAAAACGCCCATACTGCAAAGATAATATACTTGCATAAACTGGCAAACATTCAATTCTGTTAATAAAAAATCATGGAAGCACAATATTTTTTAATGTCAAATAAAGTCAGTCGACACAAAAATAATACAAAAAGTAGAAAAGATACTGAGCTGAATTAAAAAACAAATTGAATATTAAATTTAACATAAGAAAAATGTCAATGTGGAAAATTACTTAACTCCCTATTTCCACATCCTGTGCAAATCATCTTGAATGTAGCAGGCTCCTTGAAATAACTGATAAGATATGAAAGTCGTGCGCAGCTGCGGTCAGACACCGTGCGCAAAATAAATCGCTGATAACGAGCCGGCTACGCAATTTTGCGCACGCCCTGATAAGACACAATAAATATTGTAAAATTGATGAGTCAAGTTAGTTGAGCGAGCTACCACCACATGGTGTGCAAAATTGCACTCACTCACGATCTATAAAATGCCAGAGCTACTGAGCTGAACACAAAGTCAAAAGCAAAGCATCAAGTTGAACACACTTGTTTAATACATCATTTTAATCAATAATCCAACATAAACACATAATGGTTTGCAAGGCTTGTGGAACCAGTGAGTATAGCAGAAGCTACCTGCTTTTATAACGCATTTTAAACTCGTATTCCCCGAATAGATTGCCAGTGTTCGGCTACCAAATGCGGCGACAACTGCGCCTGCAGTCAGCAATGCCAGTGCGCATGCAAGAATGGCCCTAAGGACAAATGCTGTGCCAACAAAAATTGACCTAAATTATAAAATCTATTGGTATTAATAAATGAACATTTGAATATAAATGAAATTGCAAGTTAAATAAAAACTTACCATCTTAAATATACCATATATGCCACGCGAGTGAAAGTCTAGTAAATAATATTCAAAATCAAATCTTTATTGGCCATTTTGACAAGAATAGTTTTTAGTTCTTTCGATTCGTATATTGCTTAATTAAAAAAAACTCCATTCATATCAAATAATTTGCACATCTTAAAACTTCCCAATATCAATGTGTGTTTGTTTTTTTTTCGTAGAGCATGCAATTATGTTCTGCCTACTTGGTTGTGTTTGTTGTTTGTGGTGGGAATGTGTGCATGAGTTTTATATTAAAATATTTAAAATTTGTAAACGAACACACAGAGTTTGTCGTTGCTCAAATGAAAACTGCTTTCTAACAGCTGCATTAAAAATGTGTAATGAACATTTGTTTTTGTTGTATTTTCTTTGTATCTTTTTATATATAATATATATATATATATCATATATTTATTTATTGAATAAGTTGTGTTACTTAAAAGTATAATAAAATTCTTACAGTTCACGTTGAAAGCTTAGGCGTTTACACAAAAATAGTTATCGTTTAGTTTTTAGTTTCCCATCGTAATATATTTCCTTAGAGTGCTTTTGTATCCTTGGTAGGTGGGCAGAAGCAACACTAATAACGCATTTGTAATGCAATGCACATTTTGTCCTAACTCAAACTCAAATAAAATATAGTACATTCATGAAATTTGTTTGCATTGCAGCATGGAAGCCAATGAAAAAGGGTTTTTTACATAAAGCAATCAATATACATATAATATACGTACATATGTAAAATACAACTAAAATAAGCACAATTGAAATTCATTTGTGACCAATCTAAATAGCTTATGCCTAAAATAAACGTTTAAAATTATAATCAAACTCACACATTTAGATTAAACAAATGAACGTAAAAGCTAAATCCACATTCTCCTGCTTTGAAATCCATTTAAAATTAATAATTATGTAACAGACATTGACAATATCAAAGTCGTATCTTAGAAAGCATTACACCTGCCGATGCATGACAAATTATTTATATATATAGAAAAAAAAAAAAAACGTACTGAAAATTGTTCAGGCAAAAACCAAAAAGGATTTTACTAATGTCTGTTTTCTGGAGGTGTTTTGTGTTGAAGTGCCACAATTTGCATGCATTGCTCTTGTTGTTTTAGAAGGTTGGCTTTTGGCGTTTTCACAAATGCTGCAAGAATAAGTAAAATACATTTTTAGTAATGATGAGCACAAGAAAATAGAAGCTTAAACAGTTAACCACGTCAAACACTCACTTAATGTTTAAGAGGTACACAGGGGGAATGATACATCTCTATCTACAATCATCGATAGATTATTGACTTATGAAATCTTACAATTCGGCCCCTCCCTTAACGGAAAGCTGGGTACGCCCTTGCTACTTACAATTTTAATTTATTCAAGAAATTTCATTTCAAAAATCTAACATATTTATTTGCTTCCTTATATTTTTTACAACTAGATAAACATACATATAAATATACCTGACTCTTCGTATGTGTAAATTTGTATACTTTCCCGTTTCTCAGTTCTTTCGAAGGCTGACGGATACATAGCCACCACCTTCCGCACCACTTATTCTCCATATTGAAACCAGACTCGTTCACTCCAAACGCATTCGTCGACATTCAATACAATATATATCCATGTATGTGAGTATGCTTTAAAGCACATACAATGCCCAAGGTGATATCTAACTTTAAAAATTTCATATAACAATAAATTCGATTACATACAAATTCGTTAAATTTTTTTTTTTTATAAAATGTGTAAACACTTTAGTTTTCTTAAATTCTGTAGTTGCTACTAACTATAACAATTATAGTGTTACGTAAGTGTGTGTGTAAATATATACATTTATATTATAAGCTAACAAGGATAATGACCTATTTAGCTACAAATTGAAGATCACAACCAGAAATGATTACTTTAATGAACAAATTTGCAACTTGATTAAAGTTAAATCAGAGATAACTCAATACATACCAAAATTAAAAGACATGCCACAACGATGCATTCCAATTATTATTATTTAGGTAAAACGTTAGATAAGTTTAAAGTCGAAGTGTCCGATTGTTTTATGTTGGAGGATGGATACATCTAATGGACGTCGATAATAGCGGCAAAATGTTGCAAATATTTATAGGATTATTTGTGTTATATATTTTGTTATATATATATTAACATTTGACGTAATTTGATTACACATTTCTATATATAATTGCAACATATAGATCTGTATATTTTCTGTTATGCTTATAGCTTATATTCATCAAAGTTCGGCATCGTATCAAAGTCCGCCATTTGAAAATCACTACCACTAAAATTGGAACAAAAATAGAAAAGAAAAACAAATTAATAAAAATAAAAACGAAATAGATTGTATGGAATATATAAAAAGATTTGATGTGTCTAATGATGTTAGTAGAGAATCAAATGAAAAATGCGCTTCATTAAATGAATTCATGAAATTAACCAACTAATTTTTTACCTGTGAACATAAATATTACGGAATACATAATTAAATATTCAGGTAAAAAATGTATTACAGAAAACATCCCTATTCTGATTGACCTTATAGTGTTTTGGTGCGTTTCTATGCAATAGTAACAACAATAAGCATTAAATACGTACGTAACGTAATTACAATTACGAACACACATCAAGAGGAATATATGAACAAGCGCATGCAATAAATTTGTCTATTTTGAATATGTTTAATTTAAATGAATCCCCAAAATTTGCTTGCTCTTCTGTTTTGTTCTTTGGCATTTACAAATGCATGATGGTGTTATTCTGCAAGCTGCCACGATTATATGAAAAGTTAAAAAAAATATATAGAATTTCATTAGATATCAATTTCATTTTGAAATATGCATATAAAAATATAAATAAATAACATAACATATTTGAGGCTGCCAGAAAGCTTAAAAAGATGGCAATACTTTGAAGAACAAAACAAAATATTTAATGCTAGTAGAACTTTGAATTTTATTGTAACCCAGCGAGCGACCTAGTTAGCTACAGTGGTTAGTAAAGATTACAGCGAGAGCGGATATCAAATGAGTGTGTGACTGACGAGTGTGTTGCAAGTGACGAAAGGCGAGTGTTGATGTTATGCATAAGCCCAGAGCGGGAGGGCGTAGGTGTGCAATGTATTTTGAGCAGACAAAATGGCCGCGATTTCGATTTTGGTGATTAAGATTTTTAATATTGGATTGTGTTTGGTTTGTTTGATATACTAGGTGATCTTTATGCGATTGCGATTGCGATAATTGTACATATAAATATTTTGATATATGTATATCAATCAATACCTTTCGGTAAGAGGCACAACCCAAAGACTAACACAACCACTCTGTGTTTTACATTGGACCATTTGATTACAAGGCGATGGCACGGTTATTGCTGGTTAAGTGGGCATCATCCACTGAGCTTCTTGCACATTGCGTATGGTGTAACTGATTTGATCGAGTATGGGATCGTCGGGCGCTGTATTGTTCACTAAGTCCTCGAGCTCACGAGCCACAAAGCTATCATCTGAATCTGAATCATCCCTGTTATAGGATGTGGCTGCGACGCTCGATGGATTATCAGACATGATGCCACTATATGGAGAATAACTAGATGGCACCGCAACAAGAATTTTTACAATAAATTAAAAACGTATAAAAGTGGAAAGTGAAAATTAACAAAGAGTACAGTAAGTAAAAAAGTTTTTACCACTACTTCTAGCACAATTGTTTTTTTTTCTTTGGTTATTAATTAATTAATATTATTGCTAAATAACTAAAGGCAAAACCAATAATTTAAACAAAACACAACAACATGATAAACGCAAACCACAATCTGCTTTTAGATTACACGAATTCAAGAATCGTTTTCTATATAGCTTTGTTTGGTTTTTAATAAACCTTTCCATTTCAAAGTATTGCAACCTAATTAAACTCTTAAAAATGGTTATAAACCAAATAAAGCCAAATAAATTAAAAAGTACAGTTCAATCTGTGAAGAAACTGAAAACCTCCAAGCAAAATGCGACTTTGGATTTTTTTTTTTAGGATTTAAGTTCTCAAAGTTAATCTCACCCTGATTAAACACATGAGCAACAACGAAATAACAACAAACATTATAAAGAGTCGTTCAGAGACTTTTGATGTTGATGCCAACCATGCAAAACTTACTTTCCCATTGACAAGCCATCCTGCGGCGGTGACTGCATTGGATGATGAGGCGTTCCACTCATGGAGCCAGTATCCCCACTGGTGGGCACCTGCACGCGTATCGTACTCGGCACATATCCATCCCCGCGGGACGTTTTCTCTGTTATATAAATAATCAAGCGTTAATGTGTGGGGTGTACACCGTGACAAGTTGATTTTTCTGACAATTCACCTTATTTTAATATAATTACAATTTAAGAGTAAGAACTTTTCTGTGATACTTTGTTATATTAATGAGAATTATCAAAAATATAGACATTTATCATAACACAGAAAGTAATTTTGTCGCAACAGACGTACCAGGAGGTTGGGTATAAAATTCGCCAAAGGCGAGATGGCGATCCATTGGCTGCACATTAATATCGGTCGGATGCAGGCAACGCAGCATGTCCAAGTCGCGTATGCGATCAGGCAAAGTGCGTATTTGAAAATCACGCGCAGTCCACGGCGAGAGCATTGTCACCGAACCATATTCATTCACATAGGCAATGGTAATGCCACCTAAAACAGTTGGATAAACAATGAGCATGTCGTGTTCTGGGACGACAGATTCTAGCTTCCAGTTACTCACCCAATTCGCTGTCTGAGAAGCGCAACAAAAATGTACCAATTCCTGTATTGGCGCGCAATAGATCATCTTGTGCTTTGGCCTTGTTAATGAAGCCAGTAATGCGTCCCGCCTTCCACATGGCTGGCAAATGGTCTTTGGTCAGTTTCATAATGGCAAAGAACCATTCCCAAAAGGTGAACATGCGTTCCGGCAACTGCTCCTTACAGAATTGATTCCATGTAATGTATTCGTTGCGCTCGCCGGCGATGTTATCTCGTTGTAGTTTCTCAACTATTTAAAAAAGTAATAATAATCAACTTATAAATGTAATGCTTTTTTATACTTTACTCACAAAGAAACTCCAAATTTTCGGCGGTGAGAGCGCGCTGGGTGGCGGAGCCAAATTTGGTGTTGAGTGCCACAGATATCTGACCCCAGGTGACGCGATCGGTGACCACAAACGGATCACGCACAATCTCTGCGAATGCATTATCCCAGGTGATGGTGGCCCAAGACTGCGGCTCCTGATTCCCATGCACAATTACCACCACGGGCAGCGAGAGTGTCCAAACGCGTATTTGATAGTCATTCACTGTCGTCGTGGCATAAAACAACAGTGCAAATTTCTCATCCATAACGCTCTCAGTGCCCTTCTTCTCGGCACGCTTGATCTTTTTTAACTGCATGTTCCGAAAGCTTGCGGAGAATACACGGTTATTCTGCTGATATTCCATATTGCTGGAACAGTTCTGTATTTCGCCTGACGACTGTCCAGGCAGGCTACTATTGGTCACATCCATGTGTGTGCCGCGTGCTACAAAGCGCTGCGCCTGCAACTCTGAAAAAATGTTGAGGAAAAGTTTAACTTCCAGTAACTATTTTACACCCTTGCAGAGGATATTATAATTTTGTATCCCCATCAATAAAGCATATTTATTGTTAATCAGCATACTTTGTTTTATATGCGCAGAACTTCTCGACGCTAGTGGGAGACTGAATCAAAAATTAGCCCAGATCGGTTAGTAAGTGGTTTCCCAGGGTACGTAATGTCAAATGCTTGGCAGGAGCAAAAGAAGTATTCAGATTTCTCTTATTCTACTGCTTTGCAGCTTCCGCAGAAATCATAATAGGCCTTGGAGTATATTGGCATGAGTGCCGACTAGGGTGCCGATTACTCTGGAACAGTTCGTATAGCTGGGCTCAGCTGGGTTTCAGGTCATGAGACCGGCGAGCCGAAGGCAGAGTCGAAAATGTTTTATTCATAGCGTGTCGAGCTGCCCACGTAGATGATTATTTGGCTTGCCTTCGTTACGACATGTAGAATAGCGCTCTATGGGTATGGGTGTATGGTGCCAACTTTATCTATCTATCTATCTATCTAGGTCGTAAAGGGTTATAAATGTGTGTGAAAATAGTAGCACCGGTGCTCAAGCTAATCGCATCTTGAACGTGTGAAGATCGCAGCAGCACTCTAACCTTGTCTTTTTGTGTGGAAGCTGGTACACGATTTTCGAATTTATTAATTTTTTGGCCTACGAGAGAAATAAAGAATTTGTGTTATCAGCGTCATAGTACAACTGAGGTTACACAGCTATCTCTGTTTTGTATATATTTTTGGCCAAGTTTGGAGGTCAATGCGACTGGGAGTTGTGTTCTGCTATTTTTTTTTTTTTATCTATCTTGATATTTTTATACAACTTGGTACAAAATGATTGAATTGATACGTCTTCAAAATCATCAATTCGAAGAAAAATTCAATTCTGCAAAACAAAAAATATAAGGTTTCTCATCTAAGAATATTTTAAAGTACTGTTCTTTGCATATACTAAACTTATAATTAAATAATTTAATAAAAATTATGAAAATTTTTAAATTTAAGGAATCTAATTTTCTTTTTGTAAATAAATGTATCTATGCCAATTTTAAAACATTTTCCAAAACATTTGTGGGCCCTACTATTTTGACCGCAGCTGTATATGTCCGTGTTTGTTTTTGTTCTCATATTAAAAAGAAAATATTTTTTAGTGTCTGTATAATCGTACCTGACATAATGATGCAATCGACAGTGGGCGGATTCAGGTGTATGCCCAGCTGGGAGCCCAGCAGCCAACGGACTGAGGCCGCAAAGCGTGTATTTGTCTTCATAACTTGCGGCGGCTGTTTGTCCACAATAAACGCGGAGCACACAAGATTTTTCTGTGCCACCTGCACCTGATCGAGAAAATAATTAAAATCGAGATCGTCGTTCATTAAGGGCACCACCAGTGTCTCCTTCAAAACCGACAAAAGATGGGTGACAAAAGTTTCTAGCATTTCAAAGCAACGCTGTATATCATCCAACATATTCTCGCTGAACTGTGCCCCATTGCCAGCGAGCGCCTGTTGGCGTCTCCAATTCTTAAGTTCCGTTATGACCAACTCATGCAGTGGTTCGTAGCACATGAAGCTGCGACGAAGTCTGGCCACCAAAGAGGTCCTATCCTCAACTAAACGCTTGAAAAGTTGCTCCGCATCCGCTGGATTTTGTGCGCTGAGCATATAGTGATAAGTCTGACCCAATGACTTCAGACTCTCCGAGCATGTGGACAACTCGTTGTACCTCTGAACAATTTGATGATGAACATCGTACAGTTCGACCTTGGGGGTGACCATTACAGCTGGCGTTGCATTTCCCGCCATGTTGTGCATAATGCCAACCGACATGCCGGCTGCTGCTACTGGAGATGAACCGGGACCGGCAACGCCTAATAACTCACTGGCGTCCACACAGATACCATTCATGCCAACGGCGGCAGCAGCATCAGCCGCATTGTTCATATTATAGGTATTCAGAGGCATCGATGGGACCACTGCGGTGGCTAGCTGCAACTCCCTTTGCAGACCGCTCCGCAGATGCGTATAAAGTTCGAGTGCTGGAGTCCGTTGAATCAACGCACAAAGCTCAACCAGGCGATACTTGAGGATCTGATCGCTGGCACGTGTCGATAACAGTTTCTGCTTTAGATCCTCGATGAACTTGAATGCCACTCGTTCCAATTGACTTGCTGAATTTGGTGTTATCTGCTCGGACCTTTGTTTTAGAGAGAAAGAGAAAGATGGTCTCAAATTAAAACAAAATCGATCAATCGATACCAAAAAATCAATATTTTACAGATCGCACGCCCTTAGCCAAATATTCCCACTCCATTCAATGCCCAAAGATAACATAAAAATATTCTCATCTCTGTTCAGGTTACATACAAGTTTTTATATAAAATATCAATCCATTCTTGAATAGTATTTTTGCAGTATTTTTTCAGCAATGTCTCTTAGTCTAAACAATACCTTAGAACTTACACCCCAACAAAATGGCCACACTGCACTGTTTGAGAACGAGACTACTCACATTATTCTTTCTTCGATCCAGGGCGCCAAGCAGAGACGCAGGTCGAACAGACCCTTCTTATTGTAGTAAGCCGTCATGCGCTGCTCGCAGTCGGCATGGCTCGAGATGCGCTTCCACAGACTCATGCTGCTCATGTGGTAGTAGTATTTTTGTTTCAGATGAGTGTGGTGGATGTGGTGGATGTGGGTTAGCGAGAGCGATTTTGCTGCTGCTGCTGCTGTTGCTGTTGTTGCATATGCTGCAGCAGCAGGTTGCAATGACAGGGATATACTGCTGACTGAACAGACAATGTGCGCTGTGCTGAATTTTCTTTTTTACTATTTCAGTGTATATATATATTATTTTTTATAACTTTTGTTTATTTTGCCATGCAGTTTATTTTTTTTTTTGTTTAATGCATTTTAGTGAGGTTCTCTGGTGGGGCTTGGTGGTGACGGCGGCGATGACCTGGCCAAGGTCCAGCTGCTGATTTCCACAAGCGAATGGGAAGTTGGTTGGATTCGTCCATAAAATGCACAAGCACAAACGGAATGTTATGTATAGACAACTATAAATAAAATATATATGTATATACATATACATAAGCATATAAGTGGCAAGGATTACATGAGAGGGAATTATATTTATATGTGTGTATGTGTGTTGTGTTGTGTGTGTGTGTGTATGTGGTATACAAATAATAAATGATTTTATATTGCAAGCTACTTTGAATTACATAAGCTGTCCTTTTTTAAAAGCTCGCCAAATCAAAAAAATTGTGTGATAAAATTTGCCAATTTGAAGTCTAAAATATTCTTATTACTCTTCTTTTATTATGTGTTATGATTTTATTAAGAAATATACTACACAATTAAGTATAAGCCTACATAATTTGCCATCCTCTTCAAAATCTCGCCAAATATCAATCAGTCTTTTCCTCTTCTTTATTACGTGTTATGCTTTTATTAACAAATGCATTACACAATTAAGAAATAGCTTAATGTCAAATAGTAAGTTATAGTTTTACAATTTTGTTAACAGAAATCGATTTTTAATACATGAATTACAAATAAAATTCGGCTTCCTGACCAAGAGAAATTGCGTAATTTAAATTATTTAATGCCATTTATTAAATATGCAATGCATTTGATGTATTTACCAATGGGAGGCCGCAGGCCACCCCAATAGATAAACAAATGTAGGCAAAAAGTGCATAACGCATTTTGTGCATTGCAATAACAAAACTCTTGTGTTTAGGCCTGGTTGTTTTCCTTGAACTTTGGGGATAGTGGCAAGGTGTGAGCCATGTGCTAACAAAACAAAACCTTAATTACCATAATAAAAACAATGGCGAATGGTGAACGGCAAACAAAGTCAGAACCCAACCAAAACCACTTGCATTACAATGAGAAAGTAAACAGAACGACATGTAAATTCGAGACGCTCCCTCGAGTGGATAGTTGGGATCAGTTGGATGGCTGGCTGGCTGGCTGGCTGGCTGGGGACAGGTGTATGAATTAATTGCACATCGAGCTGGACTCGCACATTAAAAGATCTTTGCAATTGTCAATTTATGTTTTTGTTCTGTTTCTGTCCCTTGTCGTCGTGTCGGGGACGACATCAACAAAACATAAAAGAAACACATAACACATTCCAAACAGAACACAACGCAAACAATAAGCCCGGCAAACTCCATAAAACCCGTAGAGCAACCAGTGCTCATTTGTGTTTGCTTTTGTGGTCGATACGCTAATTTTCGTAGTTCTCTGGAAAAATAAAGAAGAACGAGAACGTAGCGCACGAAGGAAATATGAATGACCCGCGATGAGCTGAGACGAGCAGCCGAGACGAGAAATGGCTGAGCAAACCGAACCAGTCAGACCAGACTCAAAAAGAGAGCAGACAGTTAGAGCCAGTAACGAAAATTAGATAAAAATCGAATAAAACACTCATGACACAAAGTAATTATTAGATGCACAACAGACAATAGAGATGTGAGCGTGTCGTATGCCGCGACTCAAACAATCAAAATATGCACGTAACATTTTAAAGATTTTTTGTATCTTGCGTAGGCGACTAATGTGATATGCTCTCTTCTCTTTTCCCAAAACAGGCAATAGAGATGTGAGCGAGTCATGTTCCATGTGTCAATAAAAAATTAGATCTGTCCAAAAACTTAAATACTAAACTTAAAAGAATTTAACTTTTTTGAAGACTTTTAGTATCTTGCTTATAGTTGTAATATGCTCTTTCATATTAGATAAGCCCCTGTGCTAGTAGACTTATCACTTTATTATGTTATAACCAATTCGCTCTAAAGCATATTTTCACATCAAGAACCGCGGCTCCCATCTCTATTCGGGCAATCAGCCCAGCGAAAAGGACAACATCCAAAACAGGTCAAACCCTTGGCCTGTGTTGTTACCTGCTGCTGTTGCTTGTTGTCTGCCACAGCCAGCACTCCAAACCCGATCGGATGTGCGGCTCACTAGCGACGCCACTAGAACGCTTAGGTAGACAAACAAAGTTTGTGCAGGTTTTTCTACTATTCAAAAAATTTCAATTTCGTTTTACCACCTAAAAAAATGTAGTTCAAGGCGCCTGCTGCTGCTGAGCTAAATAATATCGCCAACTCAGTAGAAAGCAATAACATTGGAAGCACCGCTTTGCAAAGTATATACATACATATACATTAAAAACTAGGATAAATGTACAATTATTAGCAAAAACCAATTAAAGTCTTTAAATTTATTACAAATGTACCAGCCGAATAAAAAGTAGTAATATAAATCAGTTTCGGACTCGTCCTTAATTTTTTCCTTTTGCATTATGTTTTCTGGGTAGTATGGATTATGTTCTGGCACGTGTGCCACCAGCTTCAGCACTCGATGTTAAATTGTAAATGTTTTTATAATATTTTTATTTAAGAATAGTTCGCTAAAGACAAGGTGAACACGTACTTTTGTGTTGGTGATGATTTTCCGTGCAAGTTTTAAGTGTAATAGTATGTCAAATCATTCCGCAATGAGAAACCAACAATTTATTGTTTTGCTGAATTTAATTTTTCCCTATATTGAAGATTTTTAAGGGTTCTTGATTAACCATACAATGATACATCTAAGTAAATTAGTTAATATTGTATTATTTTACTCCGCAAAGTCTTAATAAACTCATTTAGTTACTTAGTTCAGTCGTTTAGTTACAAATTTATTGACAACACTCCTAAAATAATCAAAAAAAAAAACCGATATATAAAAGAATAGGTACAATAAAAAATCAAAACACCAAAAATGGGTACGAGCAGATATATCGAAGAGTAAAATGATCGAAGGACTCAAACAATTTATGAAAGTAGCTCTGAGTATATTGAGAATAATCATTTTATTTATTTTTGAATATTTTGTTGACCACTGTGCTTTGATGCAAATAACATATGAAACAAACGCCAAACGCATTAAAAAAAAAACAATAATTTAGCCCATACGCCAGACTTTTCATAGGAATTCAAATTAAATTTGATTAAAAATTATGATTATTTTGGTAAAAAAGCAATTAAAGTCTAAATTTGACTGTGAATTGCAAATTATTAGGAATTGCGCCAAACAATTAACTAGCTGCTTGTCCACTTCTAATTAGGGGCAAATAATCTAGTTTTGATGATTGATCGATTGCTATGAAAGATTAAGATGGATGATAAACTGACTAAAGCTAAGCCTTATCAATAAAATTGAGTGGATCCATTTACTGAATATAAGTCAAGCAAATTGGTTTTTAGTAATTTGCGAAATTCTCTTTAAATCGCCGCCAATATTTCGGCATTGTTTTTCTCTGAAAATGCGTAATGTGAGATTTATGTAAATTAATATTGGGTACAACCAGTTGAATGAAAACCAAGGCCACAGGCTATTGTGTTGAGCTTATAATTAGCACAAGTACGCATTATAATTAAATATGCATATTAATATTAGATGTATACGTCATAATGGTTTGCTATCCTTGATAAAGCGACCTATAAATAAAATAGACTTCTGAGTCAAAAAGATGAGAGTAAAAAAGTTTTGCAGCAAATCATCGAGAGTGGTGTGGTTACAGTGAGGCAAAACACATCAAAACAACTGATAGACATCGAATGTTAAATATTCCTTCTGCTTGCAAATCTTATAAAGCAGCTGAAAAGCATTTGACTTAATGGTTAGCCTAAAACGGACATTGGTTTTCCATGTTCGCTTTTTTAGTTCAAAAATCTACTTGAAATTAGAAATTTAACTTAACTCAACCCGCCAATCAAATAAAATACGCCTACGAAATGTTTGACATCAATGGGTTAAAAACGGGTCTGTTTTTCATGCAAACCAAAAAAAAGAAGAAAAAAATTATACATTTTAATCAATTTATCGAACAGAGAAACTTGAATCTTTCAATACGACAACAAACTCAGAGCATTGACGTATGTATTTCGAATCAATTTCGAGGAATTACATTTACTCTTATTTATGTAAATTATTTCAAATGTTCGAACAATGCACCAGCAAGTTTTATATTTTTATTTTTATTTATTTATATATATATATATATAGGCCTGAGTATTTTCAGTCTTGATGTGAAATGATGTACACAAATTTAACATTAATTAGCCGCCAATTCTCTAAAGTTGTGGCATTTAAAAACAGAGTTTCATACTGTTTAATATTCTCGACTAGATCACCGTTACTTTTTTAATGAACTTTCGTTTCTTTATTCCACGAAATTGATAATAAAAGAAATTTACACGAGGCGCTGACTTATAACTGGGAACTTCTAAGAAATAATAAATAAAAATTAAAATATAAATATTAAATATAAACATTTTAAAGGCTCAAATAAAATATATTATTATATTTTTATTTTTTCGGACTAATTTATTCTGCTCAAAGAGTGCTCTCGCTATTTTTACCGCTTTATTACTCAATCACCATGTGCTAATTGACCTTGAAAAGTTAAATTTGCTGATTGGGAAAACTAGAGCGAATTTCAACCTAGAAGTGAAGCATGAACTAAGAAAGTTGTTGTGGGTAGTAGTTATAGTTGTGAAAACGCTGAAACTGGTTGGACGACTTTTTGTTTTTACTTGCGATCGATGAAAACCCCACAGAGCAATTTGAATAGCAATCAATTAATAGTGTTAACCACACATTGTAGACAAGCAACTAATGTTCACACATCTTGTATCAAAATCTGTGTTCATATGCATATCTCAATCTGTATCTGTTTGTAGACAACCAAAACACGCCACACAAACTGAGGGCAAACACAACGTGACCCGCAAGTGAAATATGCGAATGCTTCTCAATTGAATTTTTTGCCTATGAATAATGCTATGCAAGCGAAAGCATCTGAGAGGTAAAAAGCTGCGCACTACAGGCAGCTGATAAGAGTTTTATTTTAAAAATGGGCAAAACCCACATGCTCCCTCAGGCAATGCAATGAGAGAAAATTAGAGCATATTAAAATTTTGGGTAGGAGTGTTTGGAAACATCTCTTTTACTGTCTTACTCTCTCTTCTCGGAAATAAACGCATTAAAAAAAAAA